GGGGGGGGGGGGTCGAGGGGAGCCCCCAGAACAGAGATTCCCATCACAAAATTTAGAACCGAAATTGAAATAGAGAACAAATTTATGAACCGCATCACAAATTTCTTCAGCCACTTCATATTGGAAGCATGCAAAAGTATTGTAAAGGATAATTATCACGAAAGGCGATTGAATTATCTTAAAACAGGGCTTGAATTACCATCTGGTCCAGCAATTGGACAGTAAAGCTGGAAATCTTTGAGATCGGACCCAAGAATCGGCAGCCGGCCCTCACGCGCGTAGGATTTCAATGCGGTATCAATAACAGCAGCAACAAGTTGCTCCTCGTTCACAATAAATCGAATCGGACCAGCACTGCCGAGCACATTGATGCTGATCAAGAGCCTGTTTCCCTTAACATTCTGATTCTTCTTCTGCTTGTACAGCAACATCCTCGTAAGAAAATTGAAATCCAAATCGAAATCCAAATTCAAAATCCCACCAATCCGAATCCCTTCTTTTTCTTCAAATTATATCCCAGAAACAGAGAATCGGCCACCGACGACAACCACGACAAATTTCCCAAAGCTAGCGCCGCAATGAAAAAACCGAAAGAGAGAAATCGCAAAAAAGTTTGGAGAAAAAAATGTTAAAATTCCTTGAAACGGGGTTGTATCGAGAAGAAGGTAGAGAAACAAAGAGAGAGAGAGAGAGAGAGAGATCTCAAGGGTCAACTCCGAGGCAGCGGTAGTACCAGCCTTCCTTGCAAGAACCAAAAGCGAAAGAAGAAGCAGCAGAAAGAGGAAGACGAGCGCTCGCCCTTGAATCCAAAAGGGAGCGCATGTAATAACTACTACAAGAATTTTCTTCCACCATTCACAAATCTTTCAAAAATTCTCCGATCTATTTCGACGGATGCAAAGAAAAAGATGACAAGAGTCAAAAACAGGAACAGAGTGTTGAATCGCAGGCCTGGAGAATGACAGAGACGAAAGAGAAGGGGAATGGAATGAATTGCAGAGAGGAAATTGAATATTGAGAATTGTAAGCGAATGAAGAAGAGGAGAGTGGTGAGGGTATTTAAAGGAATTTGACGGAGAAGGAAATTTAGGGTTAGGGTTTGGTTAGAGGCTGTGAAACGGACAACCAAAATATGTTTTAAATTAAATTTTATTCCCTCTTAATTTCCGTGTCGTTCAAGGATTCCAAATCGCCGACTTCTCTTTCTCCAAAACCCACCGTCAATTCAATTTCTTTTCATTTTTCTTCTTAATAAATACCTATAAATAAATATTTTTCTCACCCAATGTTCAAATCTAACCAATAAATATATATATATATATACCCGACCCAATTATTAAAATCAAATGACTTGGTATGGCTAAGTTTTAGGGGCATGACTCTATATACCATATTAGATGAACACGACTCTCTGAACAATATTGAACATAAATTCTCATGGTTTTGATTTAAGCTTTCCCAGAATGCTTCATATCAATAGAGATAGTATTCTTAATTAGCCAAGAATTCAACAAATCCATCCTTCTGAAATTTTTGGTTGGTATACAAGATTTTTCCAATTTAATTCAACTTAAATAGCTATAAATTATTTAAATAAAATTAAAATCATGGCTTAAACTGGTATAATTTCACCCATCATCTAAGTTTATAATATGGTTTTATGTTTAATTATGGAATTAAATGTAATTTATAATATAAGAAAAAAAAAAAGAAGAAATATTACACTAATTACGGGGTATTGTCTCAATTCTTAACCAAACTAAAAATCTCAAATCAATATCTCACTTTCAAGCCATTGGACTGTGATGAGGATGGGCAAGTGGTCATCAAAAGTATTTAAATATTAAAAAAAAACGTTTAAAATTCTATAAATAAATGAAATTATAACCATAAAATATTAGTTAACTTTCCCATCTTTAAATTTGTTTGATTTTAGTCGAAACCCGAAAAAAGCGTATAAATTATTATATCGTGTTTTTTAATAGCTTCTCTCAATTAAAATTAAAATATATAATTTAGTTGGGTTGGCTCCAAATTGGCTCTAAATGTGAAATATTTTTATTACTGGATATAATTAAGATAGAGTTGGATTGTAACACTATTTTTGAGTTGTTCTAGTTGACCCGATAAAAAAATATTAATTAGATAATTTCAACCTTTTAACCAAAAATGAAATAATTTAAATTAAGTAAAATTTGGAAACATATTTGTAATTTAAAAATAAACATAATTTCAAATGTGGAAAAAAAATAATGATGAAATTATTTTTTTTTCCAGAAGGAAAATGCATAATATATTTTTAAAATATCAATCGAAAAAGAAAAAGAAAAAAAGAAAAAAAAAAAGAAAAAAAAAAGGAAATGAGACGAAAACACGTGATGTGATAAAGAGGAAATTAAATAAATTTATTTTCCGCGCTGGCAACAAATTCAGTCCCATTCCATGTACGAACAGGAAGAGGCCCTGTTCTTCTCTTCTTCTTCAATGGCAGAGAGAGCACGTGGAGGAGCCACTCATTCGGCGGTCAACACAAATCGCTCTCGATAATGGAGATTCCCCTACCCCATGCCGCTGTCAGCCCTGTGAGTGTTCCGTTTACTTTACTGTTTCCATTTTCTCCCAAACCCTAATTTCACATTTTCTATCGATATTCAGATCTCGTTTGCTTTTGGTATTCCTTTTGCAATCTTGTGGTCCCCCGTCCCCCTGATGATATCGATTTCATTTGTCTGTGTTCAATTCAAATTTCACTTTCACTTTCTACTCTGTTCTTGAGATATTTTGTTTTCTTGCTTTCTCTTGCATGCGCACCATCTGTTTGTGTAAATGCCTGTACGTTGTACGCTTCACTTTTCAAGGCTTAGCCAGCTGGTGTCGCCGAAAAGGAGTGGGTCAGTTTAGATGACCTTTTAAATTTTCATGCAAATAATTTTCTCATGTGGCAAGCTACAAATGCTGTCTGAAAGCTTAAATGATTTATTGTGTATTAGATCAGCTTAACTAGACTAGCCTTTGAGTTGTGTAAACTAAAAAGATAAACGAAGAGACTTAACCAAACTATTAAAACTTTAATAAACGCACTTGATATTGAAGAGGTTATTTAGATTTTTATGCACATCAATGGATGGAAAAGTAGGGAGAGAATATATGATGTGCTGAGGACACCCATCAATATGAAATTAGAGCCTCTCACTTTGAGAGTGGCCGCATCATGGCCGTTGCCATAAGCATCTCATTCCATTGCCAGCCTTGCCTTAGCCATTCCCCTGCATAGCAATGAATCACTTTGAGCCCCAGCTTTAGAAAGTAGGTTCCCGGTTCCCAGGGAATTTTTCGGTTTTTAAGCAACCTTTTCAAAAACTGATCGTTTTTCAAAAGAAGCTTTTTCCTTCTGGTAGTTGCTCGTTGGAGATATTCGCGCATTTGTGCGTCGATATTTTAAACTATATATACTGTTTTACTTATTCTTTTGGTAAATTAATTGCAAGATGATTCATCTAGAAGAAGCAAGAAATTTCATTTTTTTTAGCATATTGAAAACGTTTTCATATTGGAAGTTTATTTAAGAAAAGCAGCAAGAACGATATGATTCTTGATTGAAATAGTATTATCACAGTATTACGTGAATAACACAGAAATTTCCTTTTAGGCATGGTTATATTGCCGTCTTAAAGAACTGTTTGATGTAAAACATACTGATCACGGAAATTTTTCTGCAGCCCAAACAAAAATCTTAGATAAATCACTCTTCAGGTTGTTCGTTTGCTATTTATTTAGTTTCTAGCTTCTGAGAAATAGTTTAAATTTTGTCTTTTGAGTTTCTGAGACTGTTCCACGGAAGTTCAAACACCAGATTTCGGGGCTAAATAGATCAAAAAGTGTAATTTATCCAACTCGTATTATAAAAGCTTTGGTGAAACAGAAACCCATCACCTTCCAAAATATTTGTGGGAAAAGTATATCAAATCAAGGTGAAGAAAGAAGGGGAGATTTGAGTATCAGATAATGTTGGTGGTGCTTTGTCCACCAACCATTCCTGGCCTCTGTGGAGCCATTACTTTTAGAGTACAGTTCTGTTTAGGATAGTTTATTGAGGGGAGGCACTAGCGGCCAACAACAGGTAGAAAATCAAGGAGCCTAAAGCCCTGAATATTTGGCCATTTCTGCTTTATATAACTTTTGGCATTTGCGTGATTCTCTCTTGGCACATGAATTCGGCAATATCCTGATGCCTGTGCTCACCCTCCTCTCTTTTCGTCTTCTCGCATCTGATATACATGATTTGTTGTGATCTCTTGACCCACGTACACACAAAACAAAACAGAGAACATGGTTTATATTCTCTTTTAGTTTTTTTCACTTTCATATTTTATTTGGATTTGATCCCTACTTTTTGAGTAATGTGTTCCAGTCTTTCAGTGTTGAAGTTTTCTGTTTCCTATTGTTGAACTTTACCTCAAATTCTATTTTAATCCTTTAATTCTTCATATATTATATTATAGTCTTTCTGTTTCGAAATTTCTGTTTCAATCGTTGAACTCTGCCTAAAATTCTATTTCAATCCTTTAATTATTCATTGATTGCTTGAAAAAACGTTCGAATTTATTTCAGAGCCTAACATGCTCCTACCTTATCATGTGGTATTGTTTTCATGAGGTCGTTAGTTGTCATTATGATAATATTTTAATGGATCTAATTTCTACTTATTATTTATAGTTAAGATGTCAACCGGAGCATGGCTGTATTGGTCAAGTCATTAGTCATCTCTCTTTTAGGTTGAATGTTTATTATGTGGGTCAAGTGACATGAAGTGGGTAAGATTTTCAATTTTATGTGGCTGTCTCCAAAATTATGACATTTGGATTGATAAAAAATGTTGCCGGTGTCAATTTATGAGGTTATTGATTGTTTCTGCCGAATTTATTCTCTTGAAAAACTTAATCAAAACCCAACTTCACCGGACGCTTTCGTTCACATGATCAACGACGGATTTCGTGAAGAATTTGTATGCTTATTGTGTGGTTTCAATTTTGACAAAGGGTGTGCAACTTCTTGGTAGCTTTAAATTAGGTTAAATTGTTTCATTAGTCGCCGTTTTGGAGCTAGTCATAAACCTATTTACTCTATTTTTCGACCGATTATTTTGATTCATGTACAGTCATTTCATCCTATATAAATATGCAGTTAGGTTTGACCGAATGCCATTGGAACGAGATGGTCGAAGAAAAATGAAATGTGGGGACGCGGACGCAACAATAAATTGTGAGGATGAAGAATCAATTTAGTTAAATGGTTTAACTGGTTAGTTGGACTAATCCAATCTAATTTGATTGGCTTAGTTTAATTTTATTCCAATTTTGAGCTGATTTGATCATGTTACTTTTTAATATAATTTTAAGCCTAAATGGAAGATTTTGAGAATTTTAGTATTGTGAAATACACCTTTTCTTTCAAATGTTTATTTTAGATAAATAGCTATTTGGAATGTATTTCTTCGGATTTGACTTATAAGATTGATTTGGATATGTCATATTAATGAGGAGAATTATTTTGAGTTAGTGATTACTTATTATTCAAGATTTCATTAATAACTTTGAATTTTTCGTATCATAGATAATATTAAATTGGAAATAATATTATCAAAATTATTATTATTAAAAATAATTAATTAACTAGGAAGTTTTATGACATAAATTTCAATAATATCGAGGGGTTAGTTGTCTTGACTATGAATTTGGCTCCAAAGAAGTATTGTCTTGAAGCTCACAAAAAATGAACTATAACCAACGCTGCCTTCTCAAAGCAACATGCTGATGCTATCTCTCAGCCTCATTCAACTTTCTGCATTCGTATGCGATAGTCCTCCCCATCTTAAAGGAAGAGGCCCATTAAGGTAAGGTCTTATGAGTCTCGACTTTAAAAGGTTGCGTTACATCAACAATTTCAAGTCCCAACCCTTCCATCATGACTTTCTTCAATAGTTTAATTAAAGGCCTTGTTCGTTTTGAGAATCCTTCAACAAATCGTTAATAATAGTTGTCTAATTAAAGGAAGGAA